CGGATCATCACCGCCGCTTCCCACGCTACAGACCACCACACAGACACGCACACGTCTTTCAGTGTCGGTTAGCATCCCCCCCACTATCCCAATCCCATCTTGCCTGCGCGTCGAAGCACCACTAAAAAAAAATCCGATAGAGCACCTACGAGCCACCACCCGCTAGCAAGCGCCCGGCTCCCGTCCCATCCCGCCCGGCCCACCCGCTGGCTCTCCCGTCAAGGGGGGTGTGGTCCCAAGCAAGGCCAAAGGGGGAATGAACAGCGGGGGACCGAACCCTCCCCACTAGGTCGACAGCGTACGGTACCTAGGCAGAGACTGGCTGAGAAGGCAAAAGTCGGAGACACAGTGAAGGGACAGCAAGAGATATGATGAAGAGGAGAAAAAAAAATACGACATGGCAGCAAACACACAGCTCTCTAACAAGAAGCGAATTAAATTAAAAAAAAAAGAAGGGAAAAAAAGGGGGGGGAGGGATAAGGGACCACCAAACGAGCGAACCAGCGCAAGCGAGGGACGCGCCGCAACGCCTCGTCTCTCACTACTTGACTCGTCGTGCGCTGTTCGTCTTGCCAACCTGACAATCCAGATGCCTCGGCGTCGTTGTCTTGTTTTTTTTTTTCGAGGTGAGGTGCGCACCTCCAGGATGGTCCCGGCCCGGGTGCGGCTGGGACATGCAACCAACCTCGGCCAGACACTGCGGCGATGTTCGGCGGCGAGACAAGCATTGCTACCGTACCACTGTGCGACTACTGCTGCTACACCACTACAACTACTTCTGCTACACTACTACTGCTACACTACTACGCGAACAGGATCACTACTACTGCTACACTACTACCCGAACAGGATCTGAGGTTCCATGTAGAGGCCCCATGCGAAGATGCAGAGTGGGCAAGCAAGACAAGGTAGAACAGACGCGGCCCCCGTTCCAGTCAAGCAGGTACAGCGCTTACTGTACCATGTACTGGTGCTGCCCCCCCCCTGCTCTGCAGCGGACGGCGGGGATGCTCTCTCAGGTCTTGCATTCTAGAAGTCTCTGCCACTGCTACCCTGCCTCGCCTCCCTCGGAACCCGGGGGGAGAGACCCCCCCCCCCCCACCCCCCTGTTGCGCGCGTTTCAGGCCTCTTTTCTGCATGTCTCGGGGTGCCTCTCTCCGAACGCAGGGCATCTTGCCTTTTCGCAGAGTTGCACTAGGGGTCTGCAGGTCAAAGGGTCTGCAGGGAAAGGGCGCCAAAGCAAACAGGCAGAGGCGAGGAGGGAAAAGACCAACAGCCACCTGACCGCAGAGCACTTGTACAAGGCAAGGGGGAGCTCACCGATGGGCGCTCACCGACCACGACACCCCCATCCATCATCCACGATCGACCAGCGGCTGCCGTGCTGGGGTGACCTGCGCACGAACCAACCCTCCATCACTTCTCATCTCTCACATTTTCTTTCCTCTACTGTCTGTCACTTCCTCCTACTGTCTGCCACTTTTGGTTTGTCTGTCGCCAGCGAAGAACAGCCCACCCAAGAACCAGCCCGCCATCACCGGCCCGCTCCATGGAGATGAGGGCGTTCATGCAAGTCGAGGCCCTGCCAAAGTCTCGCTGTGACGCTCACCATCCCACTGCACCATCCATTCCCACCCTGCTCTGCCACCACACAGCGTCACAGGCGTCAGGCGGCAGGGGCGCATCAAGGCCAGCGAGCGCGCACCGAGTGCGGGACGGACTGGACTCTGTCTATGCACCAGGACGTCGCCTGAACAACCTCAGACACTGCCCGCTAGCTGCCGTGGGCCCTTGTCTCGGTCCGTCCTCGTCAAGGCAAGCGCGCTGATCGGCCGCCCTGACAGGTCGAGGAAACAAAGAAGCACGCGGGACGCTTGGGGGGGGGGGG